TTAGCTCAGTGGTTCTGGCACCTGCCTCGTAAGCCCAAGGTCCCAAGTTTGATCCCAGGTAGCAAAAAAAACAACAACAACAAAGATTAAGAAATTACTTAGCGGCATGGAGTAGTTAAGTTTGAGGCCCTTGATTGAACCTGAGAATCTCTAATGCTAACCCTAAGACTTGCACTCCAATCCTTAGACCCTAACCCTATGACAAAGAAGCAAAGAAACAAAAGTCAGACATAGAACTATTTTAAATGGCTAAAAATAATGTTCAAGATCCAAGACTAAAATAAATTGGTCTAGATAAAAAGGACCAGAGGGCAGGGTTGTATTGTATAATAGCTCAGTGAAAGAATACCTACTTATCATGCCAGATTCCCTGGGTTCAATCCCTAGCATGAAAAAAAAATCCTAGCTCTAATGAAATGTTTATCATTATATCAGAGATTGAAATGGAATGAAAAGAAAGAATGGAAAAAAATTTAAAAAAACAAAAGTGATAGTAAAAAAAAAAAAGGCAAATATTGGGCTGGGATTTAGCTCACTGGTTCTGCCTCCTGCCTTGCAAGTGCAAGGTCCCAAGTTCGATCCCCAGTACCAAAAAAAAGGGCAAACAAAGCTAACAAAACCTTGGCTAGTTAAGAGTATAAGAATAAAGTAGAGGGCCAGGGATTCAGTTTAGTGGTTCCGCCACCTGCCTCACAAGCGCAAGGTCCCAAGTTCGATCCCTAGTACCAAAAAAATAAAGTAGAATAAAAAATAAGAATTAAAACTTGAAACATTAACAGATTATAAAGAAAGGATCCTAAAAGTAGTACATAAGGAGTTTTACTTCAATAAGTTATATGGCACAGTAATGTAAAATATGCAGACCATAGGTACACTTCACTGGTACAATGCTTGGTTAGCATGCGCGAAGCCCTGAGTTTGATCCCCAGGTCAATAAAACAAATAGTGACACCTTATGTGCATATGCTCAGTAGCCTTTAAGTTGTTCTTCATCTATTATTGGTAGTGAACACTAGGTACAGAAAACTAATACCCGCACACTGAGTGAGGCAGAAGGGCTTAAAATTTCAAGCTTTGTCTGAGGAACTTAAGACGCTGTCTCAAAATAAATAAAAACAGGGCTGGAAATGTTGCTCAATGCAATGACCCTGACATTGATTTCTTGAACTCAAAAGAAAAAAAAAAGATAATTTACATAAAACACATAAACTCATAAAAAAACAAAAGCTATCATGATTAAATTTTTTGAATTTTTGAAATCGTAATAAAAACAAACTGCCAACAACAAAATACTTTACATGATGATTTTACTGAAGAATTCAACCAATAACAATTTTTTTTCTAAATATTTGAGAAATTTTAGAAAACATGGAAACTTTTTTTTAGTATATTATTACACAGATAGCAAAGCCAAAGAAAAATAAAAACTATAGAACAAAATCTCTTAACACTCACCAAAAAGAAAAATCAACACAATTACTAGCAAAATAAATTCAAGAATATATTAAAATCTTGTATACTTTTTCAAAAGGTGATTTGTTCTTAGAATGCAAGGATGGCTGAATTTGCTGGTAAATCATATTGAGAATGAAGGGTGAAGTCTCCTTTGACACAAAAACTCTTATGACAAAAAAATTCTAGTTAATGATTTAAAAAATCACTCAAGAAATTAGGAAGAGAAGGAAGCTACTAATAAGAACTTAAGAGTCAAATATGAAAAACCCACAGCAAACATTATTCTCAATGGTGAAATCCTGAAAGATCTTCTGCTAAGCTAACTACCCAATTAAAATGATCACCAATGAATGAATACTTTTAAAAATAGTTAAGATAGTAAGGTTCAATCTATGTGTACTCCAGCACAATAAAAGTAAAATGAAAGGAAACAGTGCTAGCACAAACTTACTTCTCCTTACTATATTGTGTCTTCTGTTGGCTTAGAAGAGAACACAATAAAAAATCAATACTTCTAGTATCTTTAACTTCCTGTCTAAATATCATTCCTGGCAACAACCACAAATTCAGGCAGAAATAGCTAGTTTCCTAGATAGATCAGGATTTTTAAAAATGATCTTGGACACTGCTTAATGGACAAACAGTTTAAAATAAGGATGACTAAGGGGATGCTGAATGGACAGTTACCCTCTTAAACTCAGTGGTTCTGGCACCTGCCTCGCAATCGCAAGGACCCAAGTTCGATCCCAGAAAAGGGAAGGGAAAGGGGAAGGGAAAGGGGAAGGGAAAGGGGAAGGGGAAGGGGAGGGAAGGGAAGGGAAGAAAAGAAAACCCAAAGTGGCCAAATGTGGAACAGTACTAGCCAATTCAAAAATGATACTTATGGGTTGGGCATGATAGCATACACCTGTGAGCCCAGCACTCAGGAGGCTAAGGCAGGAGGATCACTGTAGGTTTGAGGCCAGCCTTGGCTACATGATGAGTCTAAGGCCAACTTAAACCACATAGTGAAAGCCTGTCTCCAAAACAAACAAAACCTAAAAAATGATACCTATTAATTTCATCTACAGAATTAAGCAAATTTCAATTAATCTATAGATAATTGAACAATTAAATGAAAAAATGTTCTTATATTAAAAATCATAACTGCAAATAAACAGGACTAATGAAGAAGTTTTAAACTTACAATGTATTACTCTATTAGTTAACTGTTTCAGGCAGAAAACATCAATCAATACAAGTCATATTATTAGAAGACAATATGATGCAAAAGTATATTCATGGTATCTCTCACATAAGACACATATCATAATGCACAGAAATTTCCTCTCTAGTAACAAGGTCAACAATATATTCCACCTGATACGTTTCATCCACAAAACTCAAAACTTAAATCTCAATCACAAAGGGCCAATGATGACCAGATACCCTGTAAATTTTTTAGTGTAAAATCACGATAATCAAAAACTAAGGATTTGCTATGCTCAGGAAGGATATGATAACTATATACAATATGGAAACCAACATTAAATCATGGATCACTAAAATGTTAGTGACAGTAACACTGAAAGTAAGGATAAGGCATATGGATCAGTTAATACAAATACATCAGTATTAGTTACAGTAGGAGGAAAATGGGAGACAACTACTGAACCACTTATATATATATAATATATATTAATATATACTAATATATATAATATAATCACTTTAACATGTTTTTTGAGACAGGGTCTCCTTATGCAGTTCAGGCTGGCCTTGAACTCATTATGTAACCCAGGCTGATTTCAAATTTGTGAAAGCCTGAGGCTCACAAATGCTGGGATCACAGGTATGCACCATGCCTGGCTAACATGTTTTTAACACAAAATTTGTAAATTCAAATTTGAACTCAAATCATGCAAATATTTGTTGCCAACCTCAAAATGGTCTCACAATGCCACTAAAACAATACAGAACACAGACAAAAATAGAATGAAGTTTTTCATTTGTGAATATCATTTCAGATATGCCAAATAAAATTTTAAACAAATATAATTAGGAGGTATGTATTAAAAAGTAAATAATTTCCTCACAGGTGAAAGTACATTCTATTTTTTAAAAAGTTAAATTTTATAGGCCGGGGATTTAGCTCAGTGGTTTCGCCGCCTGCTGCGCAAGCACAAGGACCCGACTTCCATCCCCAGTACTAAAAAAAAAAAAATTTTATAGGCTGGGGATTTAGCTCAGTGGCATTGTGCCTGCCTCCCAAACACAAGGTCCTGAGTTCAATCCCCAGGTAAAATTTAAAAAATTTTACCTAATCAATATTTCTAAGCGCATGCATGAAAAGGCATTTTTACTAGAATTGTCATTAAGATTGTCGAAAAATCCATGCATGGTGGCACACACTTGTAATCCCAGTACTCAGGGGCCTGAGGCTAGAGGATCACTGGGAGTGAGGTCAGCCTGAACTACATAGTGAGACCCTGTCGCAAATTTTTTTACAAAATCTTAATAATAAAAGAAAAGTTCCCTTGATGGGAATAGTGGCAACGTATCTATTATCCCAGCTACTCTGGAGGCTGAGAAAAGAAGATCCCAAGTTTTAGGCCAGCCTGACAATATAATAAGATCCTGTCTCAAAATGAAAAGTGAAAGGGGCTGAGGATTCAACTCAGTGGCTTTCTGAGTTCAATCCCCAGTACTAAAAAAAAATTAAAAGTGTAAAATATTAGGACAGTGTGGTAAACATGTTAGAATGTTCAATGATACAAACAGCTAGCTATGGGACATGTGCTGTAGGTTTGACACCACTGTGCTAGGATGTAGCTTAGTGGTAAAGTACCAATGCTCATTTCACTAAGAAAAGAAAGTAAAAGCAAGCAAAACAAACACCAGAAACACCCTCAAACTATGAAGTTTCACATGAAGTCAAAAAGCTAATGGTACTTTCTTCTTACCATTATAATGTATCAAGAATAATAAAGATGATTTGTGAAAAAAAATTTAAATGAAATTCTCACATTAAAAGATAAACAATCTCCATGTGGTGATAAATTAAGGAAATTTTTGTAAGGCCACAGAATAAAAATGTAAACTCTACTAGTGGTATCTCAACATAATAATTTCATTAGAAATAAAGACATACCTTGCATTTGGATAGGAAGACTCAATTTTAAAGAGCTCTATTCTCTCTATTAATCTATTACATTTGTTGCAAGTAAAATTAAAACTGCATTTTTTCCAACTTGAAAAAGAACTGTCAACCTGAGGAAAAAATGCAAACATAGGGAATATTCTGAAAAAAAAGAAATGAGACAGAACTCAATATAAAACAGTTAGATAGTATGAGTCATGTCAATAATTAAAGTGTTTTTCTATATCATTATGCTTCAACTTTAGTAACAGTTAAAGGGAGTGATTCAACTATTTAATATTTTAACATCACAGTAATGATTAATGGAAAAAGAAATGAAATGACAAAATCACTTGATTGAAGAATAGACTACAAAAATTTACAATATTGATGTCCATGTTTGTAAATAAAAACACAAAGTCAAAAATGATAAAACAAAACATGACTGTATTTTAAAACATAACCAAAAAAATAAAACAAAGTAAATAAGAAACACCAAGTATTTTCACAATGGCAATGCATGAAAAAAATCTTTACATATGGAATCATCCATCATCTCTTAGGAATTAGGAACAGACTCTTACGTTATTACAAAGTGAAATGAAAGAAACATAACCAAATTAACACAAAGGAACAGTAATGTTATACAAAGATGAGATGGCTCAACAGTACGATGTATAAAGATGAGAAAGATTAACATTAAGAAAAACCACTCATATTACATTATCAATTATTAGCACATATTGTTATCTAATGTTCAGTTTTCGGAAATGAGGAACTGATTTCAACACTGAAGCACTTACTCCAATTAAGAGGAAATTTACTCAAATATAGATTTTGCATACAGTTTTCAGCGGTGACTGTAATCGACAATTCCAATGCAGCTGAAAAATTCAAATTTACATAAGCATATTTACCACATAGAAAAGTTACAGCTAATATATTAAAATAAATTTTGAAGGCCAGGCATGGTGATCTATGCCTATAATGCCAGCACTCCAGAGGCTGAGGCAGGAGGATTGCTACAAGTTTGAGGCCAGCCTGGGCTACACAGTGAGTTCAAGGCCAGCCTCAACTATACAGTGAGACCCTCTGTAAAAGAACCAAGCAAAAAATAAATTTGTATTATTTTACTTATGAAAAAATGCCAAAACCTTGGTGACAAAATACCATTAATGGCAGATAATACTGAAGATTAAAATTAGAAGGAAAAATATCATTTAAGTAAAAACTAGTTTTGAAAACTCCCTTTTCCTTAAATTCTTTACAAAGAAAGTATAACTGGGCCAGGGATTTAGCTCAGTGGTTTCATCGCCTGCTGCGCAAGTGCAAGGACCCAAGTTCAATCCCCGGTACCAAAAAAAAAAAAAAGTATAACTTAATTTCAAATGTGTCCTGTGAAAAGTCAAAATAAACACATGCATTGCATACTTATGGAAGCACTGCGATGAAGCCCTTGTAGTTCCACCACACTGGACTTCTTCTGTAGTAACGGAGTCACCATTCCAGCCCCTAAGAATTAGTCCATCATCGACAAAAAAAAAACTCAACCATTCTTATGACTAGTACATATTGTCTGCAAAGCCATCTTTTAGTTCTTAGAAAAAGTAGACTTGAGTCCAATGTTTCTGTGCAGCAATGATCTTCAATGGCATATTTGTTAACCTGAGACGTTTCTGAGCACTAGGAAGGCTCTATTTTAGTTTTGAAGACATGGCTGGTAGAAGAAATGGTGTAGGTTCTTTTTCAGTAATCACCTGAGAGGAGAGGCAGAGTTGAGTTTAGAAGCTAACTTAATATCGACAGCAAAGCCTAAGGAAGTGCAACATTCATTCTATTACGAAAAATTCCCTGTGGAATTTTCTAATAAATGGGAGGCCAGGTACTAACCCACTTTTTGAAAGCTTATTAATATGGACTAATTTCTCCAACATTATTCTCATGCTCCTTTTGTCTGTTTCTACCTCTGTGTCACTCATTTATTCGCAGAATTCTAACCTGGAATCTACATACATTTCTTTAAACAAAAAGTCTGAACATTCCAAGGAAAATAGCATAAGGAGTGGAGTCCATTTCCTGACTACATTAAAAATATAGAGGGCCGAGGATTTAGCTCAGTGACACTGTGCCTGCCTCGCAAGCGCGAGGTTCTAAGTTAGATCTCCAGGACCAAAAAATACACAAATTAAAATAAAATTGAGATTACGGTATGTGGTAGCACATGCCTGTAATTCCAGCACTCCAGAGGCTGAGGCAAGAATATCACTGTGAGTTTTTGCCCACCCTAGGCTACACAGTGACTTTTCTTTTTTTTGGTACCGGGAATCAATCTCAGGACCTTGCACTTTCGAGGCAGGCAGTGGAACCACTGAGCCAAATCCCCGGCCCTAGGTTACATAGTGATTTGAAGGTCAGCCTGAACTACATAGTGAGACCCTTTCTCAAAAAATAAAAATAGGGGCTGGGGATTTAGCTCAGTGGTTCTGGCTCCTGCCTCTCAAGCGCAAGGTCCTGAGTTCGATTCCCATAACCAAAAATAATAAATAAATAAAAATAAAAATAAGAGCTTATGATAGAACTTTTAAGATGAAAAGCCTGTAACCCATGCTGGGCAAAAGTAAAAGTACTGATGCATAGATTCTGTGGAATTAGCACAATACATCTTATTTTATGTCAGTATTTCAGGATAATTTCTTACAAACCAATTATCTATGACCTTACATCATCAAGATTAAGAAAACCAGGCTATGGCTATATCAGTAAATTACTAGCCAAACAAACCACCTCTTGCCCAATCAAATACACATTTAATGACCCTTACAATGAAATAAGGGCTGGGCATGGTGGTGCATGCCTCTAATCCCAGTACCTGGAGGCTGAGAGGCAGGAGGATCACCCTGAGTTTGGGCCCAGCCTAGGCTACATAGTGTTTTCAAAGCCAAGCTGAACTACACAGGGAGACTCTGTCTCAAAAATGATAAACAAATAAACAAAACAAAACAATCATGACACCATATAGAGGAGTGAAGAGAACTTGAAGGAAAATACTTCAACAGGTTTTTTGATACTACTTATCATTTCTGGGAATAAACAAGGACAACAAAGTACTTTCCTGAAACTACCATCTACTAAAAAGAAAAATATACACCACTGATAACAGATAAGAGGATCTCTGTGGGATATATCTGAAATTTCTGTCAATAATTATAAAATATTCCTCATTAATAGATCCTGTAACTAAGTAAATATTACAATTTGCGGCATAACTATCTTAGGACTAGCACATTTTGCATTTTCCATGAAATTGTTCTTTTTCATACCACAATAGTATATTTTTGAAAACAAGCATATTGCTAATTTCATAATTCCAAGTAATCAGACCTTTGGTCTTTTTTTATTATGAGTTACATTGTCATGCGTGGTCATAAATAAAAGATTATGCTGTCTGCATATGTATCACTATTATTTTACTAAAATATCTTTGAAAAACATCAATTGAGTACCGGTGTAGCTGAGTGGTAGAGCACATGCCTGGCACGTATCAGGCCTTGTGTTTAGTCCACTGCAAAGACACAAAAGGGCTAACTCTTTGTCTGAAATTTAAAAAGCGCCCACTGACAATCTTACCTCCAAACACCATCAAATCCACCTTACCTATGGGTTCGTAGTTAAGATTTATAAAATGAGGGGCACGGATGAGCAATATCGCTGAGGATGTCATCAGCTTTAGTCAGTTTAGCTTCAAATGTCTCTCATCTTCCTCTCCTGAGAAATACAGAATGCAACAGAGCAATGATTTATAAAATCTAGCATCAAGATATGTAAGTTAGGAAAAAAATGGGCTGCTTGGGAACAATAAATGGTAAAGATTCGATTAAAAAATATGGATATCCACATACTTTCCACACACTTTTTAAATCACATTTTTGGAACAAATGATAAAAATATTGATGTGTTTTTCCTAATAACTGTTAATAAGTAACCTTAAAAGGCCTACTTGAGGGCCAGGGTTTTAGCTGTGGTTTGCCACCTGCTGCGCAAGCGCAAGGACCAGAGTTTGATCCCTGGTACCAAAAAAAAAAAAAGCCTACTTGAAATCTTCAGACAGAATTAACTACAGTAAATGAAGCAAAACATCTATTATCCATTTATATAAAAATTAAGGAGGCTAGAAATGTAGCTCAATAGTGGAACATAAACTTATCATGTATGCGTTCAATCCTCAGCATGGAAAGAAGTGGGGGTAATTTTCAATTTATCTCAAATGAAACTTCCAACAATGTATTTGTTTAGTCAGTATCCACAATTAGGACCTTTTAACTCAATGTTTATTCTGTACAGAACTTTTCAATTAATATTTTACCTCATCTGTATACTTGTTCAGTACTCACCTGAAACTCCATCTTGTCCCTTCTTTCCTTATGTAATCCAATATTCTTCGTTTCACTGTAAGACTGCTGCACAATTGTCTTAAGTTGCAGTCTTCAGGAAACCATTCAAAAGTCAATTATAAAGTCCACTATGAGTACAAAGTTGGACGTCACAACTCAAACCTTCCCCAGTGTTGATAAAAAATGATGAGAAAATAGAGACAAACTGTCTCTTTAACATTTCTTGGGTTCTTTAAAACATCATTTAGAAAAGCCTTATAAGAACTGAAATGCAGACAGTAACATCGCTCCTTGTTCAACATAAGTGTTAAGACTCTGACATATTCTTCCATACAATTTCACATCCACATATATATTCACTCAAGATGTCATGTAGTAATTTGCAAATTTATATACTTGTTTTGCTGTTTAACTCACATATAAAATTCTGGGAAAGAAAATACCAACACTGTAATACCAAGAAATAGTATTTAAATGTCAGAATGTCATTACCTACATATATAACTAACTTTTGAAACTATTAACATTTCAGTTAAAAACTAGAAGCTTATGGATATAGCTCTGAACAGAAAGTTGATGCTTGTTCAATTCTTAATGCCGCATGATACACTAGTACTGAAAGGATATTTCAGTATTTGAATTACATTCATGTTGAATATTCTAGTCTGTAGGACTTCTTTCACTGATGAATAGTTCAGATATTTGCTAAACATAGAAAGTTTTCTTTCTAGTAAACTTTTTAGAAATTCAGTAATATTCCAGTAGCCAATTATTACATTTCATAAACTGTATATACTCTTACAGTGACGGTCTTTGCCAAATTACTGTTTGAAAGATACTCTGACTTATACTTTGATCAACACAGAAAACACACACACACACACACACACTTATAACCACAGTTATTTTATCCTTAGAAGTGTATAAACAAACTTGAAAATAAAGTTATGGTCTTTATGCTACTGCTACCATACATTTAGATGATAGTATGTGTGATTTAGAAATATCTGCAAGCTAAAAAAAGTAGTATTATAGAATTTGTAAAATAAAAATAAAATAAAAATGAAAAGCAATAACCCAGAATAGGCTTAGTACTCTTTTTCGTTTGTTTGGTTTTGGTTCTGGGGATCAAACTTGGGTGCTTGCGCTTGCACAGCAGGCGGCAAAACCACTGAGCTAAATCCCCGGACCAGGCTTAGTACTCTTAAAAGACCATACCTCATCTTCATGACTTCTAATATCCACATGAATGTAATTCAAAATGCAAATACATGAAAACAAATTTTTAAAGGTTAATTACACCACAGCAAAGTTAATAATGATTTTAGCAATCCTCTTTGGTTTTTGGTTTTTGGTACCAGGGATTGAACTCGGGTCCTTGCACTTGCAAGGCAGGCGCCAGAACCACTCAGCTAAATCCCCAGCCCCCTCTTTGAATCTGATTTTAAAAGAACAATTCCATTCTTTTATCTTCTTTCTAAAGATAAAAATACATCCCACTGTTTTTAAGAACATAATATATACAATGACTAGTGGTTATCTCTCATATACAATAAACCCTATCAGTCAGATGATCTATCAACCTCCCCAAAACCCAAAGCATCAAAATGTTACAATTTTAAAATAATAAGTACAAAATTTAAAAAGCATTAACAAGTAATTTTAACTACATTTTATAATGAAGTATTTACAAATTTATGCCTTGTTGAGTCCCATGCATCTAGAAAATCTAGATGTTATTTACAAGTTTGTCTTGAATGTGGTTACGCAGTTCAAATAGATTATACTGATTCAAAGAGGTAGAAAGAAATGTATGACATTTCCTGTAATGATTATAAAAATGTCTATGCAATACCCAATCAACAAATTATACAAAATAATGATCTGGGGTTTTAATGTGTAAGAATGAAAATAAGGAAAGCCTTTCTCTTAGATGACAATTTAAAGCTGAAAATACAATTTTAAATTTTTCCTTCCCCTGACCAACCCAAAAAATAAACAAGGTACATAGAGCTGAAATAACCCATTGTTAACAAATTTCAAAAAATTATAAAATGAAAAATAAAAATGTATGATGACATTTACAAAATTATACTTCGTGAGAGCCTTCATCTAGAAAAACTAGACGTTAAAATTATTTTTTGACTATTTACAAAGTTGTCTTGAACATTGTCATGCAACTAAGGGAACACATACAGAACTTTGTATAGTTCCAAGAGGTAGTACAAAATTGCTTTAATATAATTATTTGTATCTTAAAGGTTAACTGCAAAGGAAACAAATAAAAATATATGTAAGCGAACCCCAAACATCCATGAAAGCCAAATGATTTTACTTGTCATTTTGTAGTTGTAAAATGTAATTCATGACTGACACAATGGCAAACTACTCCTCCATGGGAATGGGGTAAATGCATACTGCCTTGTTATTTTCTCTTCTAACACTCAAAGTAGTCAATGATAAATTTTGTAAATCTCCATGTGTCTGTTTCTCTTTGGGGCACTACTGAGGAGTTAACACCAAGGGCCTTTGGACTAGGCTACATCCCCAACCCTTTTTTTACTTTTTATTTTGAGACTGGGTTTTGTTAAGTTGCTCAGGCTCAGCTCTTCCTGGCTCAGCCTCCTGAGTGCTGGAATCAGGGGCCTGTGCCACCATATTGGTTCCAAGTCCATCTATGAATGGTACATTTAAATGCCATATTAATTGCAAAAGACAATGGTATGACAAGCAGCATATTTATAAAATTATACTCAATACATCCAGAAATTCTAGATGTTAAATTAAAAAATTTTAAATAACTTTTGCCTGTTCCTCACAAAGTTGTATTGGTTTTTGTCATGCAGCAGTTGAACACGGAACATTAATTTAGAGATACCCACTAAGAAAAATCGATGGCATTATAAACCTTAAGTCTAGAGAAGTTTTACATCATCTATTATGTAAGTACGTGTTATTTTTAAGTAAAATGGACACCATTTCATAATTATAACACAAGTTTACATGCAAGTCAAAAGTTGTTATAAAGAAACCATTGTCTTTCTCCATAATATGACAGCATACTGTATATACAAATCCCAAACATGTAAGCTCAAAACTAAATATTAAATCCAGGTTCTTACAAAAAATAAGAAAATTTTTTTATAAAACAGCTTAATATTTTAACCAAAATACAGTCACTTAACACAAAATTCTTAACAGTCCACAATTGTTATACTTGCATACCACTAGCAGGTGAAGAAAATCCTTTATACAAACCAAATGAGGGCCAGGGATTTAGCTCAGTGGTTTTGCGGCCTGCTGCGCAAGCGCAAGGACCCAAGTTCCATCCCCGGTACCGAGGAAAAAAAAAAAAACAAACAACCAAATGAGAAAAACTAACCACTGCTTTTTAATACTTCTATTGGTAAAAGATATTTTAACTAAAGTTTTACATTCTTAAAATAGTGTATGTGGCAAGGGAGGAGGGGGAGCTCAGATCTTGAGAAACCTGTTTATTGACCATGAAGCAGTCTAATAATCTAAAGGTCCATTCTACCAAGTAAAAACTGAACAGTGGCAGAGACAAATCAGCAATTAAGTGGAAATAAGAAAAATTATATAAATTTGCAAATATAAATGGGAGTTCTCTATACTGTGATGAAGAATATAACCAAAAGGAAACGAAAAACTGCATAAAACAAACGCAACTCATTAAGAAGCTTATTTTATGAACAATGACTTTATACTTTACTTTTCAATGAAAATGTATTTTCAAAACTGATTTCCCATGGAAGCGTGGAGGCTTCATTCATAGAAACGTTGCCTTCAAAACTATGCCTAATATTTGCAAATACAGAATACCTAATAAAATGATATTTATCATGTACACAATATAATTTACAAATAATCCCAAAATAAAGATGGCATACCATTTCCATACTAAAAGATTTCCTGGCTTTGTCTACTATTCACAAATGAATATTAACAATCTGTATGCAGATATTATAAAACATAAAGTACTATCTCTCTACCACATTATCTATGAGCTATACAGTACTGTCCCACAGTACCCTGATGCTGCTTTGTAAGTACAGATAAGTAGGTGTACATGTGATTGGAAGCCTGCATGCAGCCTAATGATGTCCAACATGCAGTGCACATTCATTTTATGTACACAGGTGATCTGACACCGGGGAGGAAATTAAATCTCCCACTATTATATTTAGAGAAATGCAGATAGCTACTTTGCTTTAAAAAATAATGGTGTCTACTTACAGCATTATGTATCCCAGTGAGCAATCCATGATCTCAAGTTTAATAAACCACTGACAGCATCCTCTAAAAATATAAGTATTTTAAATAAATAATTCATTTATTGAAAGTCAAACGATACTGACAGATGGAAATTTTTCCAGGCTATCCTAGTAGAAAATGTGGAGATTTTACTATCATACAAAGAACTATGTCTACTTATATATATAAAGCACATCTAGAAACTACAAAAAATTTTGAAACAGCTGGCCTTGGTGGTGCATGCCAATACCAGTGCTCCAGAGGCTGAGGCAGGAGGATCTAAATGTGTTGGAGTCCAGCTTGGGATACACAGTGAATTCTATACCAGTCTGAACTACATAGTGAGATCCCGTCTCAAAAAAAAAGGGTGGGGGATGACATTTCCATCCTGTGCTATGTGCCAGAAATATAACATTTTATTATAAGAAATATGTAGATAGATTTTATACACCTATATTTAGATGGGTATGTAGTACTTCCACATATATTCCTACAATATATACTAAAACCTAAAAATTAAGCCCAATGATCCAAGGAACATTTTGCTTTCAGAAAAAACTACTGGTTCTTAACAGTTTTACAGTTATGTACAATTATAAACCACTCTATATAACCAATTATACTAAAAATTTTAATTTTATAACATTTTTATAGAAAAAGTATGACATCAGTGGTGTGAATTAATTTTTTAGGTTATTTAAGGAGTTACTATTCAATGGCAAGTTTTTCTATCACAACAGCAAAGGGAATTCACGTAACTGAATGATACAATATCCATAAACTACATGTGTATCCCAACCTCTTCACAGGAACTAAACCAAGAACCAATGCAAAAACAGTATCTGCTCACAGGCCCAGACTTCTGAACTCTACCTTTGTTTAATGCAAAGTAGTTTTGAATTCCACTGAGCAATCAAAAAAGTCATAATTTAATAAGTGAATCAGCCCTCAAGCACACCATAACAGCAATTATTTTCAGGGTAAGATTTACTCCCAGTCTTTCTGCCTAACATATACAGAACAATTAACCCTGAGGCCCACTTGATCCTGAGCATGGTATTTTTTCATACAAGTTGGTGTCTTCTGAAATTTTATCCCGAAAAGAAAATCTTTGAATGTAAAATTCTTAGACAATCAAATTATGTGTATATACTGCCTTAATAAAATTTCTTTTTTAACAATTGTACACTTAAAAGTACCCCGAAAAAGAAATAGCAATACTACAACAAAGATATTTTCAATGTACGGCATTCAGAAATATTCTATTTCTATAACCATGTATTCACATTTTCTATATACATTAGGATGGATTCTCAAATGTCTTAAGGCCTTTCTTCAGATTACCAAACGAAATGCTTCTGGTGTCCCACTGTATTGCCCTTTCTTATTCAAAAAATGAATACAAACTTGAATTCCCTTATAAAATCTATTTCAGAACCCAATTTTTACTCAAGATGTTTTTATAAAATTCCCTAGAAAACTAGCCATTTTGCACAGCAACAATCTTCATATATTGATTTTGAAAATCTAGAGACAGTAGGTTTCGCTAATTTGCTTTCTGGAAAGATTAAGCAGGTAAAAATAAATGAATAAAATAAAAGTACAATTTCATTTTCTTACTGTTACACAGTTCAATAAAAAATTCACATACATCAATGAAATCTTATATTTCTACCTAAAGACCAAGATGTAAATTCTCACATATTTAAATAAACTAATTATGACAAAAACTAATACAACATAAATGTCTAGAGATATTTTATAATTTTAGCATGAAAATAATTTTGCATATGCATACCAATGTCACATATACAAGGCTTTTGTTCTAAATCTTACAAAGGGCAACTAGACAACCCATAGCATTAAAATCCAATATTCTTGGTTTTTCTCCTGTCAAATCCAAAGCTTACTCCATGAAATGGAAATAATTAAAAGGTGGCAAGAATTTTAGAGCAATATTGATCTATTTTATAAATGAGGCCCTGTTAATGAAGCTTTTAGTTGAATTCAAGACATGTTTTCCTTTTGTACCCACATATTTTTGCAGAACTGTTTCATCTCTTTGAGTTTGTACTGATTAGCACAAATTTTCTGACTCATTAAACCAATAAATACTTCAGATGTACTTTCCAAGCTATGTTTTAAGGTGCAGTTTTGGGAGGATGTTTGCATTTGTGCAGTCCTGATGTGGCCGGAACAAACTTTAGACATGCCCAACAGTGCAGAAAGAAAAGGCACTCTAAAAGTTCCAGAGAAGTTTACAAAATACACTTTTATCAATTATGTGGCAGTCACTCAGGATGTGGCTCTAGGTGACAACTGGTTACAAATCTTCCCTAAATTCTCTTGGTTTGTAATCAATGTTTCCTGTATCTGTTCAGATTTCTGGAGATCTTAAGGACCAAAGGATTAGACTGAGGGCATGCAACAAAATGAGTGGATCCAAATGTCCAGTGCCTCGATGTGGAATACATCCAGACTTTCCTTTCACAAAAGATGCTCTAAATATATTACCAGTATGTGATTTTTGTCTTCTATTTTATTAACACACACTTACTGCACACTTGTGAAGAGAACATGATGATGTTTGTCATCTTCTTAAAAGCTGTTCTATAATGTGCATGAATTAAAGTACCTGAAGCTAAAAGCAAGGGAACTGGTTGAAAGTTTGAAAATATAGTTTATAGATGACCAATCTTTCAGCTGGAGACATGGTGGGAGAACTGTCACATGCTGAAGTATGAAGCATGCCTGACATTTCCAGAAGAAAAATCCATACCAATCTTCTTTTAGGCTCCATTACAGGCCAAGGATGAGAGGCAGTTCCTTGTCTCTTAGCTGTCATCTTTCTAAATCCCTTCAAAATTCACAGCAAAATACTGTATTTAAAGTAAGTGTTTATGAATGTAAATGAGTCCATGGTATTTCACATTATTAATTCGGGATGTTTTTTAATTATCTGTTCATCTTTTTTCCACTTTTAATTTTTCAATGTCTTTTAATTGAGATGTGGATCATAGTTATGTCATATATTCATTACAGTAATCACAACAATGATTAACCAAATATTTTACAGCTCAAAGAATGCTCAATGCATCTTAACTTGCTCTTACACAGTTACTCTCTTACCCATTCCAATAGCAGCACTCCCTTAATATCTAAGAATTTAGCACAAAGTTCAAGTGAATATACGTTCTTGTTTTTCTGACCTAGGTTTATTCTCCAGTGAGCTAGGCTGAAGCAAATGGGGCAACCAATATAGCCTACAACCTTAAAAGATTCCTTTTATTTTCCCTTTCCACAGAACACCAGCAAAACCTGCCAATGTTTTGTAGTTACCTGTAATTTATAAAATTTGTAACTTTAGTTTGAAGCAAATTCATTTCCCCCATGTTTCAAGTACAGTACAATAAAATGGACATGGTTTTTGGCATAAAAACTAAGGAGTTAAAAAAAATCAAGGGTGAAAATGGAGGCCAAACTTACTTTCTTCATTACTAGAGGTGAAATTTCTTGTACGTGATATTCACTCATATTATCAACTGTACCACTAATTTTGTTTTTTGGGGTTTTTTTTTTTTTGGTACTGGGGATCAGATTAAGGACCTTGCACTTGTGAGGAAGGCTGTGGAACCACTGAGCTAAGTCCCCGGCCTTGTTTTTTGGTTTTTGAGACGAGATCTAACTATGCAGTTCAAGCTGACCTTGATCTCCTGTGTAGCTGAGGCTGGCCTCGAACTTGCAGCAATCCTCCTGCCTCAGCCTCCCAAGTGCTGGGATTACAAGAGTAATCACACCCGACTGTATCACTAATTTTGAATGCAATATATTAATAGAAATACTAACTATTCATCAAGAACGTACTAGGTTTTAATTATTATGCAGGACTTTGGAAATAAGAGCAGTAAGAAAGGACACCAAGGTATTCGGTGATCCTTTAATGTTTTTCTTCTCCTCGTATAGAAGAGTGTCATAAAATTCAGCCTTTCAAACCATATTTTGCATGTAATTATCTCAACCAAATGAAACTCTTTATTCAATAAGGTTTTTACGTAGGTATCACTGTTGCTTCAAAAATTTCTAATGCACAGATTTGTTGTTGCAACCTTGACATCACTTAGGTCCACTCTACCCTCAGTAGATAAATCACCCAGTCTAATTTAAATTTAAATCAAGTGTTCAGCCAAGCTCACTAGAAAAGGTTGCACATTAGAAAATACAAATTAATATAAAAGGTACAATGACCACTTAAAAATAATTCCACTAACACATTCTTAGCAAAATCATAAGGTATACTTTTTTTTTAACCCTCTCTTTGATTTTTTTATTTTCTTCAGTCTCATGTCAAAGAAGGTCTTCTTTGAAGTTCTGGTTTGTTGCTCAGCAGCTGCATCATCAGAAATAGCTGACTTGAGCAGATAGGCACATATTTTTCAACATCTCCAAATCTCCAGAATTCTCAGTAATAGTGGCTAATTTTACAAAGTTTCTAAGTACAGGTAATGAATTTTTAACAGTATTCCCAGTTTCTAAACTATTAAAAAACAGCACTGAGGGCTGGGGATTTAGCTCAGGGGTGCCGGTGCCGGTGCCTGCCTTGAAAGGGCAAGGTCCTGAGTTCGATCCCTGGTACCAAAAAAAGAAAAAAAAAAAAAACAACAGCACTGAAATCATATTGAACAGGGCAGGGAATTTAGCTCAGGGCCACTGTGCCTGTCTCACAATGTCCTGAGTTCAATCCCCTGTATGGGGTGGGGGGAGATACCTGTAATCTCATGTTTATTATAGCACTATTTAAATTAGCCAAGAGATGGGATCAAATGAGGTATTCATCAACAGAAAGGATATCGGGAAAGGAGTATTTATAGACAAAGGAATATTATGCACCCATAAGAATAAAATCCCATGGCAACACAGATGAATCTGTACATTCTGTCAAGATGAAGTAAAGAGAAATATTGCATATTCTCATTCATATGTGAAACTTACTTCATAAAAATACAGAATAGAACAGAGGTCAATATAGGCTGGTAAAAGCATACAGATCGGTCGTAAGATGCAGGGAGGCTGGATAACAACAGAACACAGATAGATAGGAGGAATAATTGCTCATGTTCTACAGTTAAAATAGAATGTCTCAAGTTTATATATTTAGTAAAGAACTAGAAGAGAGACTCTCCAAGGATCCCAACACCAATTAGGTGAGAGATCCTAATTATTCTGATCTATCCATTATACATCATACACATGTATCAAATTATAAAAATGTTTACCATAAATGATTACATGACAGTTTCTTAAAGTGAGGGAAAAATTCCATGATAGTATTGTATGAAAGAAATACAGGTGTATAATGTATTAAGAAAAAAATTTCTTATAAATTTATTAATTTCTGGAATTTTGGAAGTTATTCATTCAAAGTGGTTTAGTTACGCTTAATTTTAAAATGTTTGAATTAAGTCAAATTGAGTAAAACTTGAACCTAGATTTGGTAGTTGAGTCACTGTTAGGAAAACTATTTTTTAAATTTGGTTTCCTCAGTGAGTAAAGACAGATTTCTTTGAGACTTCAAGGGTCGTTTTCAGATTTATAAATATGCTATAAGAAGATATTTCATTTTGCTGTCCATTTCCACATAAAGTAAATCACAAAAAGAATGTTCCACCCTGAATATAATCACTCTGTGTTGTACCTGGGAACACGAGCACCTGGCACTTTGTTAACAGTAAACTCTTTGTGTCTATGACACAGAATAGAAAGGGCTGATATTTTCCCAAGGGACACTTTTATTCTTTTTTTCCTTTTCTCCAATAAGAGTGTTGGTTAAACATTAATCCTGGATTGAGTTTATGGAGAAGTTGGCTTTATACTCAATCTTGTTTTCTCTTAATAATCAAGATTTTTATTTTCCATAGATAAAATGTCACAATAGAGCCTCCTAGAAAACAGACTTCCTTAACACAAAACATTTCCATTCCCGTTTCAGAAAAGCCAAAGGAGGAACTCCAGTGGTGCAATTGGTTAGCACACAGTACTTACACAGAAAAGCCAGAGCTGTGTGGTTCACAGGAGCCAAGAGTGAATGAACTGGCTGTCCCTCAAAAATTCTTGTCCAAGTCACTCGAGGCTGTCAGCCACAGCCATGGAATGCAAAAGGTAGGGCAGACATCTGGGCCAAGTTGGGGCCCACCTGCTGTCATGGCACTGGCTCTGTGCCAAACTGTGACCCATCACTGTCATGGTTCCTGGTGCCCTACTGTGACCCTGGGCAGGACTTCAGAGCCATTGCTTTGGCAGTTGACTGACAGAGCAAACACGTTTCTACTGCATTTCTATGGATGCCACAAACAGTTCCAGCCAGCTTCATGATGGGGAATACTGCTTCAGAGGCCTCAATCCAGCTGAACCCTCTTCTACCTCAACAATCACCACAGCTGTCACGGTGACACTACTTCTTAAAATGCTCCAGGAGACTGTACGTCAGGCCATAGCTGCCCCAGATGACTGTTCCTCACAGCTGCCACCCACCAAGCACCTGCATCAGATGTTCCCATGCACATGAGCTGACCCACCCCTTTTTCTAAATGAGCAGTACTCTTCTCACTCCATCAAGACATTTCTGGAAATCTCCATCCCAAGCATTCCTCAACTTCTGTATGCTATAACATAAGCTCAAATGAAGCCTCGGTCACATGGCTTCACTTTGCCTATTCAAAGTTCCTATTTCAGGGGCCAGGGATTTAGCTCAGTGGTTTCGCCACCTGCTGGGCAAGCACAAGGACCCACGAGTTCAATCCCCAGAACCAAAAAAAAAAAAAGTTCCTATTTCAAATTGAACAGATTGCTCTGCATGCAGTAAGAACACCTTATTTAGCAAGGCCTTTCAAACTGAAAACTAGGAGCTGGACAGCTGCTAAAGAGCTAAGAGCTGCAAAGAACTGCTGGGCGAGTTGTAGAAAACTACTAACTCTGGTTCTTGGTGGGACATCTGCCACATATGGCTGCAATAGCTGTTAACACTAGCAACTGAGAGTAACTAGAACTCAGAACCCACAGTGCTATCACAAAACGCTGAGAGCTGTTGACACACAGAACTCAAGAGGTGCTAACACTAGACAGTTGGACTTTGACTTTTTGTGATTTCCGTTCAAAACGATCAAGACAATCCTCAACCTACTAGTAACACCCAAATGTACTCTTCAGATCAGGGCTAAGCAGAATGTGTTTTTACATGCCTTCCATGTGATTCGGATATACTTTAAAATCTGAGAACCACCAATTCAATGAAAGCTCCCTAGAAATGTATAGCTCTTTACCCATCCTAGTAAGTAGAGCAGAAACTGATATTTGGTCAGAATGATTTGCTAATCACAACAATCTGAACACAAGATGTAACACTACATTGGGGCACAGAAGCTGAGATAGAAAAAGGTGATTTAAGATGTGTTATGTACATTTACCAACGCCTGACAATAAAGTAATCATTTTGTATTCCAAACGTGCAATAATAAAATTAAAATTAAAAATAAAGAGAAGATAACTAAGACTTATACCATGAAGGAAAAAAATTGGATGCAAATCTAATTCTGATTCAACTGACCCCCAAATGTTCCAAAATACAAATAGTACAAGTTTTCTCATCGCTAACTCCTGGCATTACTCTCAACATATCTCACTTCAACCAACTTAAGGGCATATTCAACTGTATTAAACTTGGATTCTTTCCCTCTTTTCTTCCTCTTATCAACTCATCCAGCAATCTATTTCTCATGCTTTCCATTCCTCCCAGCAAATTATTTCTATCACAAATTAATTTCACTTGATCAACTATTCCCTTTCTAAAGATGTATGTTACCATCAGGTCCAAGAAATACTGAGTCCCAGCATCAAGCTAGCAATTCCCTGTCTCCTCAAAGATTCTTATTTATGCGGACTTTATAGTCAAGTCATCTTTAAAGAAGAATTACCAGCTGGATATTGTGGTATACATTTTAATCTTAGCACTTAGAAGGCTGAGGCAGGAGGTTTGCAATGTGGAGTACATAGCATGACCGTGAAATAAAGAGACAGACAGACACAGAATGAATTACAACGCAAAGTAGTATGCAAAGCAACAACTATCAATGGTTCTCTCTAGATTGCAACAAACATCCTAAAGCCAAAGAATTCATGTCAACACTACAACTCAACAGGCACTATACTCACTCCTTTCTTACATAGTTGCACACTTCTAATGTAACCAGGTTAGCAGGAAGGGTGGCTCACTTCTCTCAACTTAAACAGTGAAGCTGGGGGGGCGGCACATGCCTTATCGCTCAGAACTCAGGAGGCTGAGACAGGCGGATCAAGCCCAGCCAGATCAAGCCCAGCCTGAACTGCATAGTGAGACCCTGTCCCTAAAAAAAAAAATTAAACAAAGATATTCTAACATCAGGAACACTAAGATAGACCAAACAATCACAGGAGACTACAAATATTTCTTGCAACAAAACAAGGATTCAAGAAAGTAACAAACTAGAAAGAGTCATGTACCTTTTAAATGAATGTTTTCTCTGAACCCCAACAGGTTTTCATGACAGTCTAGTCACTTGTCATTATCACAATATTAACACCATCATTTATTAGTAGTCACATACTTAAACACATATAACATTCATGTGCACTAAGATATCTACCTGAGAGTAAGACCTTAATATATACAATTGTCAGCAGGGCTTGCAGGTAACAACTGTAATCCCAGCACTCTGGGAGGCAGAAGCAGGAGGATCACAACCAAGCTGAGGCAACCCTGGGTTAACTTAGCGGGGCTCTGTCTCAAAATACATACATACATGCATACATACATACATACATACATACATACATTTATAAATAACCAGGCAAGCAAATAAATAAATACACTTGATCTTAGCCAAAAGGCTGAGAAGTGATATCGATAGATGACAGATAGATAGATAGACAGATAGATGGATGGATGATAGAAAGAAAGAAAAGTAAAGAGTTAGGGATATAGTACAGTGCTAAGGACCTAGTTTCGATCCTTAGTACAGGAAGTCAGAGATAAACTGTCCAAAGCATACCTTTTAAACAAGCTTTATCTAAATTAACTATTTGAGTATCTAATTGCAGAACACTTAGCCTAGATAACAAAAAGATATCACTCATTCAAGCAAAAGTAAATATTACAATATGCAATGAGAGACATGATTCAAACTTCTTGGTATTTAGTAAGTTATTTCATCTCTTGGGCTTAGCATTGATATTGCAAGATGCCAATTAACCTCTTTAACTGTACTAGAGTCCATGTCTGATTAGAATACAAAATATCATTAAGTCATCAAGAGAAGAATTAGAATATAACTATAATTCTGCTCAAAATATTGTCTTATCTGTAGATCAAAGCATATCTTACCAATAAACTAGCAATTTCTCTTTTAATGTGATAAAAATGGGGAGGTTGCCTCACAGTGCCCAGGAATATGTTCATGAAATTCCTAGAAGGCTCAATCTGGGTGATGTTAATATCGTGAGGAAAATGCATGAATGCTTGTGGTTTTTCCTCTCTTGAATTTATCATTTATTTGAAATGCACAGGGGAAAAACAAAGGTGAGATCTGTCAATATTATCAGTGCAGAAGAGACACTATGAAAGGAACCTTTACTAATCTACATCCAACTTTGCTGTACTGAAAAAATCTATAGCTCCACTCCCCTTAAGGTACTGATGAGAAAAACCTTGTCAAATTGACACACACCTGTGTCCTCCAAAATTAAATCGACACTTAGGCTGGACCTCAGAGTAATCATTTCGAGCCTCATTTCATTCATGCTCATAACACCCAGCTCATCATCAGCCCAGCTAAGGTCTTCCACAAGGTTTTCCCCAACAAGTAACACTAAAAAGAAAGGGATCAGAGGTGTGGATTAAGTGTCACAAGGTGTGCTCAGCAAGCAGAAGGACCTGGTTTAATTCAGTATCTACAGTAATAATGATAAAAGATACCTACAGATAGCATTATCTCCACCCTGGACAGTCCTCTACCCTGGAAAAGTTAGTGTCATCAGCCTTTCACAATATATACAAGACACTAACAACGTAATTGACAAGGCAAAACCATGACTAAAAATACTGGCTTGCAGAAAATCTCACACACAGATTAAGACTCAAAAGGCAAATTGCCCAACACATTGAAATGTCACTATAGAAAGATACCAAAAACTTGGCTGTTCTTCCCAATAATTTATTAACCAACTTAAGCATTTAAACATTTAATGGAGTTAATCACCTCCAAAATATTCCATAGTTGAATATAAATAATGTAGATGAAGAGAATAGTGAAACAAAATCAAGATATGCCAAACAAATACAGTAGAAAATTTAACAATATCATCTTGAAGGAGGCCTTCAACTTCTAACCTTTAATATAAGGGATAAAAGTGCCAGTAACTAACTACTTAAATTTATTTATAAAGAATTTTGTGGCCCGGGGATTTAGCTCAGTGGTTCTGGCCCCTGCCTCACAAGCACAAGGACCCGGGTTTGATCCCCGGTACCAATAAAAAAAAAAAAAAAAGAATTTTGTCAGAGAGGAAGGTGAGTAGTCTATTCAAGACTACTGTGTGTATAGCAGATATTCTTTGAAACACCTAGTCTTTCTATACTAGTTTACAACACACATATTATACTTTTTTCTATATTAGTTTATTACTTGTACTAAAAGTACAGGTAGCAAAAAGCACATATTATACTTTTATACCGTGCATATTATACATATAGTTTAGTTCAAATCCATAATAAAATATCTTCCATTTTTTTAAATTGTTCTTTTTTTGGGTACCGGTGATTGAACTCAGAACCTTCTGCTTGCAAGGAGACAGGGTGCCACTCAGCTAAATCCCCAGATGATTGTTCATTTTTTATGGAAGAGTGAGTTGAACCCTGGGTCTTCACAGTGTGCTACATACCCAGCTGTTCTTTATTTTTTGTTTTGAGATAGGATCTTATTACTACATTGCGCAGGCAAGGCTGGAATTTGTGGTTCTGCTACCTCTGCCTTTCAGTGTCCTGGGACTACAGGTATCTGCCACCACTCCCAGCTTGAAATACTGTCTTTTGGAAATCAAAACACTTCTCTGGAGTGCACACATTATTGCAGTGGTGCTGGTGCAGGGAATAAGGAGAAAAAAGGACAGAGCTTTATAATGTCCTTTTGCTGAAGCAAGATTGACTACTGACTGTTTAAAAATAATTAGCATGTGCTAGATGTGACAGCACACACCTGTAAGCCCAGTTCTCTGGGGAGAAGGGATGAAGCAGGAGTATCACAACTTCAGGCATGGCCTGGGACACTTAGGGACTCAGCTTGTTCCTGTTTCAAAATATAAAAAATAAGCAAAGGGTTGGGAATGTAACTCAGTGTGAAGGTCCTGGTTTCAATCTCCAGTATGACAAAAAACTTACTATAGAAATAATAAGTGTCCATACTACTTTCTCTGATACTTATCTTGTGGTAGATATTAAATTACTGATTTGTAGAACTGTATACTTTCAGTTCAACCACAGCATAAATGTGCCACTGAAAATGAATACTTTAAAAGGTAAAACAAAACTACACTTAAAAGGGGAAAGACATCTTACTAAGACAGTGTAAACAACTGAGGTATACAACTACTCCTAGGTTACTGTTCAAATAACAAATAATTCACACTTATCAACTATTCAGTTTAGCTGTGAGTTTCTTGTTAAATTTTATTTTTTGCAGTACAGGGGACTACAACAAAGGCTTTGAACTTGCTAATAAGCGAGTGTTGTGCCTCTGAAATACACCTCCTGCTCTTTTTAAATCCTGAACTCTTAGTATGTGAACTCTTACTTATTTCTCCAGTTCAATCTTGCTCAACAAAGGAAATTAAGCCTGTCAAGATTCTCTTAACTGTTTTTGACTTTACAATTTTTAAATCATAGGCAGGCAAGTGACAGTATGTTCACAGCAACCTTGGATCAAGCAAATCTATATGCACAATTTTTCCATCAGCAAGTGATCACTTCATGTGTGTGTGCCACATTTTGGTAATTTTTCACAATATTTCAAATATCTCCATTATGATAACTTATGTATCAGGGATCTATAAACAATGGTCTTTTCATGTTAATAACTAACTCCAGGATACCATAAGGTGCACTGCTGTGCGATGTAAATGCTGTGTGTTACAACTCCTCCGCTGACCAACTGTTCACCCATGTTTTCCCCACTTCATCCTATCTATTCCCTAGTATACAACTGTACTCAAGTTAACGGCCCTACTACAATTGCCTCTAACTATTCAAATCAAATGGCAAGTTGCAGGTCTCCTGTTTTAAATCAAACACTAAAAATGACTAATCTCTTATTAAGTAAAACATATTAAAAACAAGACAAACTGAAACTAGGCCCTTTGTACCAGTTAGCCAAGTAGTGATTATAAGGAAAAAGTGCTCAAAGGAAATTAGAAGTGCTACTCCAAGAAACACACAAATGCTAAAATAGAAGAGATTTATCAGCAGTATGGAGAACATTTTAGTTGTCTGGAGAGATCAAACCAGCCAAATTAATTCCCTTAAAAACTAAGCCAAATCCAGAGGCAGTCTCTCTTTTCAGTCCTGTGATCACTGAGAGAAGAAACCTGCAGAAAAAATTTCAAGCTAGCAAAAGATGGTTCATGAGGTTTAAGAAAGACGTTGTTGCGGGGCCAGGGATTTAGCTCAGTGGTTCTGCTGCCTGCCTCACAAGAGCAAGGGACTTGAGTTCAATCCACAGCACCAAAAAAAAAAGAAGTTGTCGGGCCAGGGATTTAGCTGAGTGGTTCTGGTACCTGCCTCGCAAGCGCAAGGGTTAGGGTTAGAGTTCGATCCCCGGTACCAAAAAAAAGAAAAGAAGTTATCACCATAAGAGTCCTAGGTGAATTAAAAAGTAGTTAATACAAATGTGGCATTAAGTTATTCAGAACATCTAAGGTAATTCATAAATGTGGCTACACTCGATAGATCTTCACTGTAAGGGCCAAGGACTTAGCTCAGTGGTTCTGCCGCCTGCCTTGCAGGCCCAAGGTCCTGAGTTTGATCCCTCATACCAAAAAAAGAAAAAAGATCTTCACTGTAGAAGCCTCAGAAAAAAAGAAGAAGAAATGGTCTCGTGTTAGAAAGATATGCTTTCTAAGATTTTCACAGTTTGACAGAAGTCAGTACTTGGCATCAACGTTTCAAGGGTCAAGCTGAACTCTTCTGTCAAAGGTGAGAGCTGAAACTGCTTATTTCTCATTCAGAACATTCTAGGGCCCTTAGGCATTCCACCCTGTCTGTACTCGACAAATAAAACTACAGGGCATCGCACATTTACATGATCATTTAAAACCTGAGTATTTTAAACTCTGTTAACACCTATTCCTGCTTGGTGACAATGTACCCGGTCCCGCAAGATCCCTGGTGCAGCTGTGTAATGAATGAGATGAATGTCTTCCTGCCAGCTAACACAACATTCATTCTGCAGCCCATGGATCAAGAAATACTTTCAAATTTCAAGTTGTATTATTTGAGAAATACATTTGAAAATCTATACACGCCATAAGCAACTTTCTAGAAAAGATCTGCCATTCTAAGATGCTATTAAAAACACTCATGTTCCAAGTGACAATGGGGGCCAGCAATTTAGCTCAGTGCACCGTGACAAGCACAAGGTCCTGAGTTCAATTACTGACACCGCCCCTCCCCAAATCAAGTGACAATGGTCAAAACTTAAAAGAGTTTAGAACACTCTGATTCCAACCCCTTACAGATGAGTCAAGGACTTCAAGACTTCAGAGGAGGAACCAAGTGTAGATGTTGATGAAAATCCAAGAGAATCAGAAGCAGAGGCCAAAGGTGTGACAATCTCATGACAAGACTAACAGACGTGGAGCTGCTTCTTATGGATATAGAAAGAAAGTGAAGTCTTGAGGCTGACTCTACTCCTGGGGAGGATGCTGTGACTATCACTTAAATGACAACAATGGATTTGCAGTATTCTATAATCCTAGTCAAGGAAGCAGTCATAGGATTGGTTCCAATTTTCAATGAAACCCTAATGCAGGTAGAATGCTATCAACTAGAATTGTGTGTTCCAGATAAATAATTTGTAAAAGGAAGCGTTAACACTCCAAATCTATGTTTTATTTTGTAAAAATTTCCAGACTTTCCCACTTTCAGCAACCACTACTCCTGTACTGAAGTAACACCAACATTAACGGAAGAGCACACTGCCCACTAGTGAAGACTTGCAGTTAACTCAACTGTGAAAGGATCATCAGAATTTATAATTAATGTACACCCTGGTTTTAAGACATACTGCTATTTCACATTTAGTCTACAGCATAGTGTAGTCTCACCTTTTTGTGGTATTTGCTTTATTCTCTTAGTCGGAAACTGAACCATATTTCCAGATATATGCCTGAATCTTAAGAAAACTGGATTCTAATACACCAGAGATGATGTTCAACGTGGAAGGACTATTAAAACTATTTCTTGTCTGCATGCCCTACATGCTTTAAGACTACCTCATCCTTTTATTAGCACGTGCATCTACAACTTTTGGCACCTTACTTTGCATAGCATGTGTCCTTGGGCCTTTATTTCAAAAACTGCTTTTTACCTTAAAAAAGAGCTTCCCCATCACTATGCAACAGAAGACTACTCACCCATGTAAAATTAAACTAAAGCATCTCCAGAAGTATACTGTAAATATCATGACAAGGTACTGTTTAACACAAGTGATGGCAAATACCAAATATTTCAAGTAATCCCTTTCCTGAAGATGGCGGACTAATACTTTAGGGTGTGGACTCAGAAACCAGGCAGGCAAGGGTTCATATCACAGATATTCCATTAAAAAGTAAATAAAAACCTGCTTAACTTAGTAGTCCTGCTCCATTCACTTACAAAATCTTCAACATCTACCGTATCATGAGATCTAGACAAGTTAATCAAATGCAGACACCAAAGAAGAAAAATACAAAAACAACAGTTAAGAGGGCCTGGGATTTAGCTCAGTGGTTTCGCCGCCTGCTGCACAAGTGGAAGGACCCGAGTTCAATACCCAGAACCAAAAAAAAAAAAAAAACTCACTGTGTTCCATAATACACGTTCCATATGCTCTGTCCTTCCTGCATATCACTTAGAACCCTAGAACTCCAGCACCTTATTTTCACTGATAGTGCCTTTTCTACATATCTTTATTTCCACCTCGCCATGTGCCTGTGCCTTCTGTAATTAAAGA